GCTCAAAAATGTTAACATTTAGGGTATATGGAAATTCTCTGTATTTTCCAACTTTTCTGAAAATCTACAAATAGAGGAGGGAAATCCTCTCATATTCTGTATCCAGCTATACATACTTATGAGACTTTAACATCTTTAATGAGCCTCTTTTCAAGTGAACATATAATGACCTATTTTATTATTTTATAAGACTGACAATATTAAAAATAAGTAACAAATCTGCTTTTGAGATAAAATTCCCTAATTTCCATTGAATATATCCTTGAATATATTCACAGAAATGCTTAAAGATACAAGCAGTTCTGTGACAGAAGGGCTTTCTGTAAAGCAAGCAGAATGACAGCTATAAAAAAGTTGAAGCAATCGCACACATAAAGCAGAATGGAGCTTTTCTAAAATCTCTGTCCTCCAATATGGCAGATATGCTATCTCAGTGTTTTGGATGTATGCATTCTAGGATGAGAATGCCACACTCATCACCTGCTCCACTCTCTCAGATGATTTTGGGGGTGTGGGGTGGGAGGAGGGTATTTTAATAGACTCTAGAATTACTGATTTACAAAGCCATGATTTTGTTTTCGTTTTTTTTTTTTCTAAATTTTTATTAGTGAAACACCATGAGGTAGTTGTACACTTACAAATTTTTGTGCTTGGGTTTCAGTTATACAATGATCGAATACCCATCCCTCCACCAGTGACCATTCTCCACTACCACCAGTCCCAGTATCCCTCCCACCCCCAATCCCCCCATCCCACCCTACCTCTGTGGCAGGGCATTCCCTTTTGTTATCTCTCTCCTTTTGAGTGCTGTGGTTTGTAAAAGAGACATTGAGTAGCAATCTTGTTGGGTCTATAGTCTACTCACATCACGCATTTCCCATCCTGAGAGGAACCTCCCAACACCCTTTATTTGGTGCTCCCTTCTCTATCTGAGCTGCCCTTTCCCCCTAGCATGTGCGGCTGTCCTCAAAGCCATGGAGTAATCCTCCTGGTACTTATCTTGGCTATTCTTGGGTGTTAGTCTCTTATTTTGTTACTTTTATGTTCTCCAGATGAATGCAATATTTCTATGCATGTCCCTTTCTTTCTGACTCATTTCGCTTAGCATGATATTTTCCATGTAGTACCACTTGTATATGAATTTCAGGACTTCATCTTTTCTAACAGCTGCATAGTACTCCATTGTGTAGATGTGCCAAAGTTTCTTTAACCAGTCATCTGTTCTCGGGCACTCAGGTTTTTTCCAGATTCTAGCTATTGTAAAGAGTGCTACAATGAACAAACAAGTGCAGATATCACTTCGACTATACATTTTTGCCTCTCTGGGATATATTCCCAGGAGTGGTATTGCTGGGTCAAATGAGAGATCAATTCCTAATTTTTTGAGGATCGTCCATACTGTTTTCCAAAAGGGCTGAATCAGTCGGCATTCCCACCAGCAGTGAAGGAGAGTCCCTTTCTCGCGACATCCGCGCCAACACTGGTTGCTTTTGGTCTTTTGGATGTGGGCCAGTCTGTGTGGTGTGAAATGATATCTCATTATGGTTTTGATTTGCATCTGCCTGATGATTAATTATGTAGAGAATTTTCTCATGTGCCTTTTAGCCATTGGAATTTCTTCTTTGAGAAAGTTTCTGTTCATTTCGTCACCCCGTTTTTTGATGGGGTTGGTTGTTTTCTTCTTGTGGAGGTCAACCAGTATTTTGTATATCCTTGATATCAACCCCTTGTCGGATGTGTATTCGGAGAATATCCTTTCCCATTCTGTAGACTTTCTTTGTATTTTGGTCACTGTTTCTTTTGAGGTGCAGAAGCTTCTTAGTTTAAGATAGTCCCCTTTGTCTATCTCTGTTTTCATTTGCTTGGCCAGTGGCGTGACATCTTTGAAGATACCATTAGCTTCAATGTCATAGAGGGTGTTGCCAACTTTGCTTTCAATGTACCTTATGGCATCCGGTCTGATGTTGAGGTCTTTAATCCATTTTGATCTTACTTTTGTACTTGGTGTTAGGGACAGATCTGAGCCCACTTTTTTGCATGTAGCTGTCTGGTTTTGCCAGCACAATTTGTTAAAGAGGCTTTCCTTGCTCCACTTCACATTTCTTGCCCCCTTATTGAAGATTAGATGATCATATGTTTGGGGGGAGATGTCAGTATATTCGACCATGTTTCATTGGTCTGCAGCTCTGCCTTTGTTCCAGTACCTTGCTGTTTTAATTATTACTGCTTTATAGTAGAGTTTGAAGTTAGGGAAGTTGATTCCTCCCATTTTCTTTTTCCCATCAAAAGTCTTCCCAAAAACAAAAGCCCAGGTCCAAATGGATTCACTAGCGAATTTTTCCAAACATTTAAAGAGGACCTGCTGCCAGTCCTTCTCAAGCTCTTTCAGGAAATTGAAAAAACGGAAACTCTCCCAAACAGTTTCTATGAAGCCCATATCTCTCTAATACCAAAAGGAAACAAAGATATCACGAGAAAAGAAAACTACAGGCCGATATCCCTGATGAACACAGATGCGAAGATTCTCAACAAAATACTAGCAAATAGAATTCAACAACTCATCAAAAAGATCATACACCATGACCAAGTAGGATTCATCCCGGGGATGCAAGGCTGGCTTAACACTAGGAAATCAATCAACATAATCCACCACATCAACAAAAGAAAAGATAAAAATCATATGATCATATCAATAGATGCAGAGAAAGCATTTGACAAGATCCAGCACCCATTTATGATGAAAACCCTAGCCAAAATGGAGATAAAGGGGACTTTTCTCAATATAGTTAAAGCCATCTACCACAAGCCTACAGCAAGCATCGTCCTCAATGGCGAAAAACTGAGAGCCTTCCCTCTAAGATCAGGGACGAGACAAGGATGCCCACTCTTTCCACTGCTGTTTAATGTAGTACTGGAAGTGCTTGTAATAGCGATTAGGGAAGAAAAATTTATTAAGGGCATCCAGGTAGAAAAGGAAGAAATCAAGTTCTCACTATTGGCAGATGATATGATACTATACTTAGAGAACCCTAAAAACTCTACCAAGAAACTCCTAGAAACAATAGACTTGTATAGTAAAGTTGCAGGCTATAAAATCAATACCCAAAAGTCCATGGCTTTCCTATATGCAAATAGTGAAAGAAAAGAAAGTGTCATGAAGAAAACAATCCCATTCACAATTGTGCCCCAGAAAATCAAGTACCTAGGAATCAGCTTAACTAAGGAAGTAAAGGACCTGTACAAAGAAAACTACAAAACGCTACTTCAGGAAATAAAAGAGGACTCGAGGAAATGGAAAAATATCCCCTGTTCATGGATCGGGAGAAATAACATTGTCAAAATGGCAATAGTTCCCAAAGCACTGTACAAATTCAATGCGATCCCTATTAGGATACCCATGACATTCTTCAAAGAAATGGAGCAAACACTCCTAAAATTTGTATGGAACAATAAGCTCCCACGAATAGCTAAAGCAAAGCCATGTTTTTTGGTTAAGACTTGTAGCCTGGAGCTGGAGAGCTAGTTCAAAGTGCTGACTTGCAAGTTCTGATTTCTCTGGTACCACATCCCTTCCCCCAAGTACTGCCATTCCTAACAGCACCAGATCTTTTTTTTTTTTTTCTTTTTGGGTCACACCTGGCGATACACAGGGGTTGCTCCTGGTTCATGCACTCAGGTATTACTACTCTGGGTGGTGCTCAGGGGACCATATGGGATGCTGGGAATCAAACCCAGGTTGACCGTGTGCAAGGCAAATGCCCTACCTGCTGTAACAGCCCCAGATCTGCACGCCCAGGCATCGAGTACTCCAGATAACTGAGCTAGGCCTAATAACAGAAGAAGTAGCCCCTGCTTGGCAGTCTATTGTCCGCACACTCCAAAAACAAAAATAATTTGTAGCCAAGGGGCCCAGGGATATGACTCAGTGGTAGATCACTTGACCCTGCATATTCTGAGGCCCCAGGTTCAATTCCCAGCACTGGTGAAACAAAAACAAATAAAAATCTTGTAGCAAGGATCTAAATGGAATTAGTAACAAAGAAGTTTAGCTTTGGGGAATAATGAGCCCCTTGACACTACTACACTATTCTAGTCTTCCTTAGAAATGTTTACTTTTTTCTTGACACGTGAATCACAAATTTTTTAAATTCAGTATGATGTTCATGGAGGTTCAATATACTGGGCAATGACTTTAGGCAGTAAAATCATTCCTGTTATTGCCAAACACAATCCACACAGAATTGCTCCTATGTGTAGGTGGACATGGAAAGGTCATCTCATAATCTGCTGTCACATGAAAGTGATGTCAGGCTGCACCAACTAGAGAACATCTACCAGGCGACAGCACTTTCTAGAGAAAGTACAGGAGCTAGAAACTGGTTACAATCTACATTATCTTTTACTCAAAGCTCATTATGGCAGCCTATTTACCATAAGACTAGGAATGCAGTCAAATGTATTGATACTCTAAGTTGTGCTAAATCAAAAAACATAAATTATGGGGCTGGAGCAATAGCACAGGGGTGGGGCATTTGCCTTGCATGCGGCCGACCTGGGTTCGATTCCCAGCATTCTATATGGTCCCTTGAGCACCGCCAGGAGTAATTCCTGAGTGCAGAGCCAGGAGTAACACCTGTGCATTGCCAGGTGTGACCCAAAAAACAGAAAAACAAACCAAAAAAAACAAAAAAAAAACATAAATTATATCCCTAGCCCTAATTTAAAAACAATCAGTCAAACATATAATTATTTTATGAATGGTCTTCAATAGTTATTAATAAATACTTCCATTTTCACTGGTCAATCATTTCCTGAGTGAAGACTTAAGGTTATTGCTAAGATAACTGGCAGATCACTCACTTTACCCAGGGTTGATTTACTACTTAAATTGATGACATGTTCTTATGAATGGTACCATGAAAAAGTTGAAAAGGCTAGTAGATTACTGAAAAGCCTCTGATTCCCATGCTTTCTAGCAGAAACTTTCCATACATACATACTTTTCATTTGTAAACTTCTCTGGTGTGAAGTCTGCCTGCCTCTCAGTTTCATAGGGTCGATATTCTCTGTATGATCTCCGCTCTGCTCTGTCAAGAGCTACCTCTGTTCCCCGGCTGTCATTCCATCCCTGTGACTCTCCTCTTCTAGGAGTTCGCTTCTGGCCTGTCAGGGAAAAGTCAAAAGGGAAAGTTAGAACACAGGGTCCATTACTTTTAAAATTTCATTTTTCTAAGCACCAATGTCATAAAAAATGCATAGTCTGGGACAGTTTCAGAGGGGAAAAAAGTTGATATATCTACTGCTCACAGTCAATTACTTTCTTTTTAGGCCACACTTGGCTGTGCCCTGGGCTTACTCCTGGGTTTGCATTCAGGGATCACTCCTGACCTGTGGGGCAGGTTGAAGAAAGGAAGTGTGTGCATGCTACCTGAGCCCATTATGTTGCTGCATGTGGTACCTGAGCACAAGTATCTCCTGCAGCTATATGTGGAGCCAGGGATCAAACCCAGGAAAGCTGCACGCAAAGCAAGTGCCCTACTTGCTATGCTATCTCTCAGGCCCCTCATTACTTTTTAATAAACCTTTAAGTACTATAAAATCACATTTTCCCTCATGTCCTAAAAAGAATAAGTGACTTTTAATTACAGGATCTCGAAATTACTGTGCAAATATGGATATACATATTTTTGCTAAACAACATTTCACAATAGCTTTATCAAAAATGGCAGCTAAACTCCATCCAGAGGAGAATACATTTTCTATTCAGATCGTATTTTTTAGAAAACCTACTGAGGACAAACTTGCAGGCTATCGAATGTAGCCTGCCCACAGGGCAGAGTCTGGCAAACTCCCCATGGCGTACCAAATATGCCAAATACCAGTAACAATGATGGGTCTCATTCTCCTAAAGAGCCGTGAATATAATCTCAGGGCTAGGATGAAAGAGACGTTACTGGGGCCTGCTCGAGGCAATCGACGATTAACAGGATGATGAAATGAAAATGACTGAGGTATATTTTTGACTACTAGAGTTTTTATCATTAAAAAGCTTGCATTGATGTATCTTTTTCAAGTGGAAAAGGCTTCCTGCTCTTTGATGAAATGTATATATTTGTGGTCATGCTTCATATGAGGCTAAAGGGACACTGGCACTAGTATTAGGGTCAGTCAATGAATGCTTGAAGGAGGCATCTCCTGCCCAGCAGTGGGCGAGCACTCAGCAGACACATGCACGGGGTGTATACAAATACAGGTCACTTCAGTCTTTTCTTTCTCTCGTCACCTTATATTAATTCCTTTGTTTTAATGCTTTAAAATTTAAGCAAAGTCAACGTTTGAAGGCATATCAGGCACATCTAGAAATATCAGAAATATCTCGTGAATATCAGGTGAAAAAATGTCTCTTTTTTACATGTTCCATAAATGTCTTATCATTTCTCAGCATATATTTAAGAATTTCATCTCAAATAATCTTAAAATTTCTATTTTAGTGGTTGTAATAATTCTTGGTATAAACCTTTACATTGGTTGGTTGTAAGATTATAAATTATTAAGTGAATATTAATAAATATATCTTTTAAAATTATTGAATCTCTCCTTAGATACAAGACTTGAGTATATTTTTATATGTTTTAATTTTCCTACTTCTTACTTTCTAAAATAAACTTTATAAACTGGTCACCCATAAGTATTAACATGGTTCTCATGTAACCCACAAAAATGTGTTTTTTAAATATGACTGGCAAGCTCCCCGTGACGTATTCGATATGCCAAACACAGTAACAACAAAGTCTCCAATGGAGATGTTACTGGGCCCGCTCGAGCAAATCGATGATCAACGGGAGGGCCTTTACATTTACCTTTATATAAAAGAACTATCTTAATATCCTATAACCTAGAACTGTTTATGTACAATCTGCATCTTGTACTGGTCACAATCTGAGCCCATGACATGTTAAGGATATAGGAGAATTTTTATTTTTTATTTCTTTTATTTTTTTAAAATTAATTTATTTATTGAATCACTGTGAGAAAAGTTACAAAGTTTTCAGGTTTAAGTATCCGTCACACAATGATCAAACACCCATCCTTTCACCAGTGCATATTTTCCACCACCAAGAACCCCAATATGCCCCCCATCCCACCTCTCCCGATGCCTGAGGCAGATGATTTCCACTTAACTCTCTCTCTACTTTGATTACATTATTTTGACAAAAGATGCACCATTATTACTTGGAATTTCCCCCCAACAATCAGACCTGCTGAAAAGGGACTGTGAAATAATTTGTTTTCTATTGCTGGTTATGAAGACCATATGATGTCTTGGTTGCTATTGCGGCCACGCGATTTTGGATTTCTGATATTTTACTAATTAAGTCTGGAGGGATTTCTGCCAAAAGCCGTATAGTTATGAGATTGGTTTGTGTGCCTCTGGGGCCATGGCCGTGACAGAGAGCCACTCGTGGGGGGGCAACTCTCTATAGAAAAAATTTTTTATCATAGAGTATTAGAGTGCTTTGCTTTTTTTGGGGGGGGGTCACATCCAGCGATGCGCAGGGGTTAATCCTGGTTCTGCATTCCAGAATTACCCGTGGCGGTGCTCTGGGGACCATATGGGATGCTGGGAATCGAACCCGGGTTGGCCGCGTGCAAGGCAAACGCCCTACCCACTGTGCTATTATTGCTCCAGCCCCTAGAGTGCTTTGCTTTTATTGAGAAACAAAACTAATACTCATGCCCTATTCAGTATGCAATGTCAGATTCAAGGGCACATATATTACTAATGGAGATCAAATATCAAAGCAGCATTTAAAGTATAAGGTAGAAAATGCTAGTATAAAAGTTAATTATCTCACATGCTGAAAACTAGAACTGTCATTGTTAAAGTTACCAACAGTCAAAATATTTTCAATACTTTTCCCTCAATGTAAGATGTTAAATTACAATTTCAAATTGCCTATTTACATCATATAATTTTAATTACTATGACTTTCAAAAAAAATTTTTTTTTGCCACCCCCAGCAGTGCTCAGGCTTTACTCCTCCTGGTCATGCTGAAGGGATCATATATGGTGCTAGGGATCAAAACTAGTCGGCCATGTGTAAGGCAAGTGCCTTACCTGCTGTTATTATCTCTCTGATCCAACCCTATAATTTAAAAACAAAAATAAAAAACCCTAGGATCTACACTTAACTATATAAAATTTTAGGAACTTACCACACCTTCTGCTTCCTCAAGGTTATTTCTTAAATGTTATTAGGATTCACCATTCAAAACTTAAATAATATTTGCTGCATGCTTAAAATTATACTTTATCTTAAAAAGCCTCTTTAAAAGTTCCCCTGTAAAAATGGAAAACCATTAAATATAACCAATTCCTTATCAAGATATTAATATGCTGCAATTTATTTCCCCACCAAAACCCCAAAACAAGGGTACCAGTTTTCTCCCACAATTAACTACTGAGCTCAAGAATGCAAGCACAGGGGCTGGAAAGATAGGATGGGTAGGGAGCTTGCCTTGTATGAGGTCAATTTAGTTTTGATCCCGCATGGCATCCCAGATGGTCCCAAGTGCTTCCAGGGACTCTGAACAGTCAGGAGAAGCCTGGAACACCACTTGGTGTGGCCCCCAAACCAAAATAACATTAATAAAAGAATGCAACTCCAGTGAGACATGGAGGCAGTTTTGCAAGCTTGAGGCAGCAAGTTCAATCCCCGTGCTGCTGCATGATGGTACCAAGCACTATCAGCAACTATCTGATTGCACCTGTGAGCCGAGACTGGAAGAGATTTCTGTCTGTACTGAAGATTGCTCTGTGCAAGCACTGAAACTAAAGGGCATAACTTCAGTGAGCATCACAACACAAAGATGTTGAAACAATGTGGCCAGCGTTGGCACATGTGTGAACAACTAAGAGTTCAATCCAAAAGCATCACAAACAAGTACATACACAGTCCAGGTTACAGCAGCATCAACAGAACAGGCAGAGGGTACTTGAAAAATATAGCTCTGAAGAGATAGAAAAAGCAAAAGTGAAACAGCCTCTGAGGATTTCAGGATTAAGTTCCAGAAAAAGGCTCACTCAAGGTAATTAAAAATGGACACAAATATTTTTTAAAAGCTAATATTTCCATGGGAAATACTATGACTTCCATATACTTTGAGTTGTTTCTATTATCAAAAACATGCCTTTGACTTCTCTATACTAAGCCTTTATTTTTAATTCTAATTAAAATGTTTGAGTTTAAGGAGTCCTTGTCCTTAAACGCAAACATTTTAATTGTCAAGTTGTAAAAAGCTTCAAAGAGGAACTCTCACACCTATTACAGATAAATTTAGTTCAAAAAGGACATAAGTAAAAATCAATGAGTGGTTTGTTCCTGAAATACATGAAGAAAGAACTAAAATGATAACATTAAAAGGCAGATTGCCGATGGTAAACAATTGAGATAAACGCTAAACCTTTAATTGGGTTACAATGTTAAGTGAAACCAAAAAGGTGTAACCTGGTTTGCATCTAAATTTGGGGGAGAAGAGAGTTTTGCACATTTATGTATATAAATATAACATGTTAATGGCAACTTTAAGATTTCCGTTTTCATTTTTGTGAAATTTAAAAAAACTTCTGGCCACACCTTCCGGTGTTCAGGGGTTACGCCTGGCTCTACACGGGCTCAAGGGACCATATGGAATCGAATCTGGGTGGGCCATGTACCCGCTGTACTATCACTCCACCTCAAAATGTTTTAATTTCTAAATCTGAAAATTTATTCCATTTTAAATAATCAAATGGTTAAAAAACAATACATCGAGCATGGATCTAAATGAAGTACGATCATATTCTAAGGCAATGTTTCTCAATAGGTGCCCATGTTGTCCCACGTGCAGCTCCGGGATAGCCCGAGAGGGTCACAAGAAGAACGCAACATCACAAGAAAAAAGGCTGAGAAAATCTGTTCTAACGCACGAGAATAAGTATTTTCGTGTATTAGGAAAGCAAAGGGAACGCTTAGCTTTCCTCAATTCTTATTGGCCTAACGAGGGAATCTGGAGACAGTCAACCGCATTTTCGTTTTCAACGTCTATTGCTATTAGAAAGACTTAATCTACCAATTCTCGAGTGCAACTCTCGACCGAGACTTTCTCAGGCAGCGGGAAACCACTTGCAAGGATCTAAGTCCAACGCTGGTGCGTGGTGCGCTCGCGGCCAGGGCGGGGCTAGTCGCATCACGCAGTGCACAGGCACAGTGAACCGCATCACCCACGGAGTCCGCGGCCCCCTCGGCCCTGCGCATCAGGGTCTCGGCACGGGGCGGAGGACCCGCGGGCGGGTGTGGCCGAACCGGGCGGGGGGGGAAGGGGTGTGTCCAGGGCGCGCTCCCCAGGGACCCCAGCCTAAAAGCTGCAGAGGCTGCCGAGCCCCCACGGCGCAGGCCCTTCCTTTCTCCCACTCGCTCCTCCTTCCTTCCGCAGACTTAGTTCTGGGGGGCCTGGGCGGGCACAGATACCCCAGCCAGACTGGGCTTGGGAGGCACGACGCGGCCGCCCGAGTCCCCGCCGTCCCTCCGCCAGTCAAGCAAGACCCTTCAACTTGGCAGGGTGTCCGGGCTCGAGGACTCCTCCCAGGAGCCTGCACCCCTAGGAGCAGCGCGGGGCAGGGCGTGGCACCAGGACCTGCCCGTGAGCTCCGCGCTCTGGCCCGCCGGACGTCCGAGGGGGCCCCGACTCCGCGCTCCGACGGCCGAGGACGCCCCCGACCCCGCGCTCCGACGGCCCAGGGGACTCGACCCCGCACTCCGACGGCCGAGGGCGCCCCCGACCCCGCGCTCCGACGGCCCAGGGGACCTCGACCCCGCGCTCCGACGGCCGAAGGGGGCCCCGATCCCGCGCTCCGACGGCCGAAGGGGGCCCCGACCCCGCGCCCGGCCGGCCGCCGGGGTGACCCCAGTGACCCGCTCCCCGAGCGCGTACCGGGCGGCTGCGCGCCGCTCCCGGGGCTGTCGGGCTGCGGCGCGGGGGCCGGGAGACTCTTGCGCTCCTTCTGGGACTCGCGCCGGCCGCCGCCCGGCCCAGCCCTGGGGCCCGACGCCCCGGCCGGGCTCTTGCCGCCGCGGGGCCCGGGCCCGGCCGCCGCCGCCGCCGCCGCCGCCGCCGCCTCGTCGCGTCTCCGGCGCTGCAGCTGCTGCTGGCGCTGGCGCTCGGCCTCGCGCAGGATGTCGAACGGGTCCGACTCGTCGTCCAGGAGCTGGTGGAAGCGGTTGGCCACGACGCAGCCGAAGCTCTCCTGCATCGCGGCGCCGGCCGCAGCCGCGGCCACGGGGCTCGCCAGAGCGCCCTTCATGTCGCCGCGGCCACTGCGGGCCCGCCGCGGGCAGCCACGCGAGCGACTCAGCGGGGCCCGCGGCGAGGACCCATCCCGCCGCGGCCGCAGCCCTCCCTCGCCCGCCCCGCCCGGCCCGCCCGGCGCCCGCCCAACGCCCGCCGCCGCCCGCCGGCCGCCGCCCGACAGCCAATCAGCGCGGCTCGGCCCGCCTTCTCCTCGCGCCAGCTGGACGGGAAGCCCAATCAGCGCCTCGCTTCTGTCACGTCACGCGACTCTCGGCCCCGCCCTCGGACTCGGAGGGGCGGAGCTACGGGAGGAGCTGGGTCGAGTGGTCCAGGCTGCTCCGGCGTGCACCCGGGTGGTCGCGGTGCTGGCAGGTGTGCAGTTCGCCTTCGTTTTCCTCCACTCTTCTTGGAGTTTCCCCATTCCTCACCCATTCAGCAGCTCTGTGTTGAGCACGCACTGGTCGCTGGCGGTGTGTCGTGGAGGATGCTAGCTCCGCATCTTCGTGTATTTAGGCTGGCGACTAGGGAAGTAGCAGGGAGGAAAGTAGAGCACTCTACCCGTCCACAGCAAAGGCAGTTGAATAATTAGGAGGCATGAAAAGGCCTGCCTGCCCTGGTCAGTGACGGTTAAACGGAAACCTTCGGGATGAGAGGACCAGAAGCAACAGAGGAAGGGTTTAGGTGGCGTGATGCGCAGCCCATTCCAACTCAAACGTCTGTAACTCCATTGCGGAGAGCAGGGAAGGTCTAGTTTGGGGTTTCGTGCCAGGAGTAGTAAGAAACAGATTTCAAGCTGAAATTTGTTTTTGAAACGGCTGCTAGATCGCTCCGGGGTAGGAAGTGCGGGACTGAGGGGGAGTCCGAGTGGATGCGGGGAAACCGAGCCGAATTCAAGCTGAGTAGATGCTAGTGGCTTGAATGAGGACAGCAACGGACCACACACTCGATTCAATAGCCAATTTAAAGATTTAATCTACAGGCTTTGACGATACTTTACATGGGGCGATGAAGAAAGCAAGAAAAATATGATGTCGCCTATCATGAGATTTCTCATACATGTTGAGATGTGTTTTCCTTTTGAGAGAATTCAGGTGAGACCTTGAGTTCACAGAGCACTGTGTGCTTTTTATCCCTAGCATCAGTGCTAATCCTGAATTCCCCCCAGACTTTCTTTTCCCTCTTATGTTTCCCCAGAACCGATGCTTCATTGGCACATCTGTTGTCTCTTTGCCTGAAATTTGATTGATGTTTTTTTTTTGTTTTCTTTTTGGGTCACACCCGGAGTTGCACAGGGGTTACTCCTGACTCATGCACTCATGAATTACTCCTGGTGGTGCTTGGGGATCATATGGGATGCTGGGAATGGAACCTGCATGAGCTGCATGCAAGGCAAATGCCCTACCCGCTGTGCTATTGCTCCAGCCCCCTGATTGATCTTTAATCACCCTTGATCTCAGATGTTAAATCATTGTACTTCCACACTCTGGCAGGACACATCAAAGGGAAATCTTTGGGAGGATTTCTAAGAAATTTTAGCTTATACTTTAGAAAGAATTAGAAAGGCACTTGCCATCTTCTTTTCCTGTTTTTCCATCCTTGTTTTTCGGAGGACATAGTTACTACACTTTGTTATGACAAGGATGGCAGGCAGAGACTGGGGTCACAGATCCTTAAGACTGAACTGCTGACGACCCACTCAGAAAACTCTCTACCTCAGATTTATTGTTAGATAGCAAATCCATTATTATCTGCACTACTCATATTTATTTCTTTCATTTAAAAGCATTGTCAGAGTCTTATTTGGGTGGGTTATTCCCAGCTTTAATGGCTTGTGAAGAACTCTTAAAATACAAAAGAAACCCTTTGTTTTGTGTTTTACTTGTCTGATTGTCATTCATGAGTCGAATAGGGCTGGCTGTGTCTTGTTTTCTTATTCCAGTTGACATTCCCTGTGCTTCTGGGGAGCCATATAGTAGGTTCTCCATAAGTATTTGTTAAGTAACTGAAGATCTTTAAAATATGGAGTTATTTCCTTGGGGTTAGTAGAGAGTAATGATAAAACATATATGTGGAAAGGGGTCTTGAGCAATAGGACAGCAGATAGGGTGCAACTTGGGTTCAATCCTTGACACCACATATGACTTCCTGAGCCCCTCCAGGAGTGATCCCTTAATGCAGAACCAGGAGTAAGCTAGAAGCAGCACCTACTATGGGCCAAAAATCAAAAGAAAAAAATGTGTATGTGTTTAAGGGGGGGATGCACCCAAATTTTTGTTTAATGGTCCTAGAGTGTGAATCTTGGACCTCAGGCATGTGGAGCATGCACTCTTACAGTTAAGCCCATTCCAGGCCTCAGAAGTATATATGTATATGTATATATATGTATATGTATATGTATATATGTATATGTATGTATACATATACATATATATATGTTCCATGATATATATATGGGGGGAAGATGAGGTGGATATTCTGAGGACTCACTCCTGGCTCTGTGCTCAGGGGTCACGCCTCACAGTGTTCAGGAGATTGAATTGAGGACAGATATTTAAAGAGAAGCTTGTAAGGCCAGGGATTTGACTTCATGGTTCAGTGTATGCCTCCCATTCTTGGCACTGTGAACATGAGAGAGAGAGAGAGAGAGAACCAAACTTGTACCTGAATGTTCATAACATGGGCTGGAGCAATAGCACAGCGGGTAGGGCATTTGCCTTGCATGCAGCCAACATGGCCGACCCGAGTTCAATTCCTCCGCCCCTCTTGGAGAGTCCAGCAAGCTACTGAGAGTATCTCGCCCACACGGCAAAGCCTGGCAAGCCACCTGTGTCATATTTGATATGCCAAACACAGTAACAATTGTCGTAATGGAGACGTTACTGGGCCCGCTCAAGCAAATCAATGAACAACGGGAGGACAGTGACAGTTCATAACATACATTATCAAGAGATAGAAATAACTAAATGTACACTAGTTGATAAATGGATAACAAAAATGTAATGCGGTGACTATAAAAAGAAATGAAGATAGATACCTGCTACAAAAGGAATCAAAAACATTATACTGGGGCTGGAGAGATAGCACAGCGGGTAGGGCATTTGTCTTGCGTGCGGCCAACACAGGTTTGATTCCCAGCATCCCATATGGTCCCCTGAGCACCTCCAGGAGTAACTCCTAAGTGCAGAGCCAGGAGTAACCCCTGGGCATTGCCAGGTGTGACCCAAGAGTAAAAAAAAAAAATTATACTAAGTGGAAGATGCTAGACATTTAAAAAATCACATATTGTATTATTCCATGTATATGAAATATGCAAAATAGGAAATAGGTCGAGGCAGAAAGCAGATTAGTGGCTGCCAGGGGAAAGAGGATAGAAAGGACTGCCTCATGAACAGGAGGCTGTCTTTTAGAGATAAAGCCTTTCTGTAAGTAGGTAGTGGCTCACAAAATTTAAGTGTACTAAGTATCACTGAATTTTTACAGTTTTAAATAGTTAAAATAGAAAATATCAGGTGTATTTTGACCACCACTCTGTTTTTAAAGTATTGATTTTGAACTTAGACCATGATCTAATTCAGATCAGCTGAATCCTGGTCTGCTGGTCATTAATTTTTAACCAGGTTTCTTTGCCTCAATTTTCTCATATATAAAATAGAGAGAATAATGGTTCCTTCATCCAAAAGTTATTGTGAGGATTAGGCAAAATAATACATGTAGTGTTCAGCACTGGGTCTAACAAAAGACATTTAAAAAGTAATTATCAACATTAATAGTTTCTTTATCACCAGCATTTTGAATCGGGTTTAAGAGTAAAGTCATAACCAGATCTCATCGCTATGAGATGAATGAAATATCAAAGATTCTTCATGCACCAGATTCACTTCATGCACCAGAAATCATACTTTAAGAACTACCTTAAGCCAAACTTGTCTCTTGGGTTTTTAGACTTGCTGTCACCAAGCCATGGCACAAAAAATCATTAGCATTTGTGAGAAAGGCCTATGCTTTTTTTTTTTTCTACTGAATATCCGGAGATATTGTTAGACCCAGTGCTGAACACTACGTGCATTATTTTTTTCTTCCAATGGAACAAACTATGACCAATTCTTTCTCTCTTTTTTTAAAAAATATTTTTTTATTTTATTGAATCACTGTGAGATAGAGTTACAAGCTTTCATGTTTGAATTACAATCACACAATGATCAAACACTCTTTCTCCACCAGTGCACATTCCCCACCACCAGTATCCCCAGTACACCCCCTACCCCTTTTCCACCTTCCCACTGCCTACATGGCAGAGAATATTCCCCATACTCTCTACTTTATGACATTATGGTTTGTAATACAGATACTGAGAGGTTATCATGTTTGGTCCTTTATCTACTTTCAGCACACATCTCCCATCCCGACCGATTCCTTCAACCATCTTTTTCTTAGCGATCCCTTCTCTATCCCAGCTGCCTTCTCCCCTCTGCTCATGAGGCAGGCTTTCAACCATGGGTCAATCTCCCTGGCCCTCGTATCTACTGTCCTTGGGTGTTGGTCTCATGTTATGTTATGTTATTTTTTACTCCACAAATGAGTGCAGTCCTTCTATATCTGTCCCTCTCTTTCTGACTCATTTCATTTAGCATGATACTCTCCATGTCTATTCACTTGAAAACACATTTCATGACTTTATCTCTCCTAACAGCTGCATAGTATTCCATCGTGTAGATGTACCAAAGTTTCTTTAACCAATCATCTGTTCTCGGGCACTTAGCTTGTTTCCAGATTTTGGCTATTGTGAACAATGCGGCAATGAACATAGGAACAGATGACTATGACCAATTCTCAATTCTCAAAGCATACTCAAGAGCATGCCATCCTAAATTCCAAGTAAAAGCTACCTAAAATGGCTGCATATCTATCCTGATTATTTTAGGCTTAAGAAAACCTTTAGAGCCTCTGAAATCTCTATGTGTAAATTAAATGTCAAAGTGTAGTCTCTATATGGCATTAACAAGCTGTCTTGTAAGGCTGTTGATTTGTAGAATAGAATATTTGTAGAATTTACTGATGGTAGCTAATTAAGAAATCTCATTTTCCCCTTTGAACTTTTATTTGCTGGGAGATTGCATCTTTAAATTGC